AACTCCAGCAATTCTAAAGCGAGGTACCGGGGTTCGACTCCCCGCGTCCGAATATATGGGCTTTTCTCCGATCTTTTTCCCATTTATTCTCAACAAACCTACATACGTGTGCAGGAACAGAATTCAACTCGATTTAGTAGCAAGAATGCGGCTAACCCAAGATCGATATTGGCTGCATACGACGCCGATACTGCCTTCACTGTCCTGACAGGATCCCAAATACTTTCTTCCACTACATATATCAATACATTTTCAAACTACAAACCAAATGCATTGCATTGCAAGCCTACTGCTACAACATCGCAACTACATACGTACTCGCCCTGCTTCCATTCAAGCTGCTCAAAACCAACATGCATAAGTGAACACCGCGAGATTCAAACAGACGTACTCTCCGTATGAAGTGTACGATCACTGTCGTCCCCTCCTTCACAGGTCCAGGCCCAGGCTGCACCTCCTCCCACTCCTCCAGCCCCTCCCGCGTCGGCCTGCTTCCCGCGTCTTTCTCGCCTATCCCGTCCCGTCCCGTTCGCCGTCCTATAACATCAGCCCCATCGACATGAGAGAACGAGATTCAGAGTGAGAGTGAGATTGAAAAGGAGTAAACTCGAGCTCATTCCATCGACAACAACGAGTGGAGGTCCATCAAGACAACTCGAGCTCGTTTCATCGAAAACGAGTGGAGCTCATTTCATCGAAAACGCCTCGAGCTCGTTCCATCAGCAGGGACTCGAGCCCATTTCTCGAGCCTGCTTCGCATTTGATAATTGACAAGTAAAACTCACCTCGCCACCTCGCCATGAACCGGCACCTGAGCACCACGACCCCCCTTACAATCGAAAACACGATAATCCCACCACCAGCGATGCCGAGGATGTACCCCGCGAGTCGGCGGTGGACGTTTGCGGGGTTGAGAAAGGGGTAGGCTGGGGGGGAGGTTAGACTTAAAATTGGAGCACAGGCGGAACGATGGTGAATTTAAAATCGGAGCGGAGCAATTGTGGGAGAGGAAAGTGCAAAAAACGCCAAGAGAAACAAGAAACCAAAACAAAAAGAAGCCCAAGTATCGCAACGCCGGCTTGCACAACAACCAGCGCTGCCCGACCGGGGCGGAATGTCGGAATGTGCCCCGTAAGGATTCAAAGACGGCTAGAAATAGGCCCAGAAATGAGCCGCGAGGCAAGAAGGTGCCAGAAATAAGAACAAGAACAAGAATAAGCCTGATGCCCAAGGAAATTAAATCGGAACACGGATGTGGGTGAACGAGCGTCGGCGAGATGTAGGAGAAGTGGGCGAGGAATAGGTAGGCACCCGAGTCCCAAAAAATGGAAGGAAGTGAGAGAAAAGGGGGCAGGAAGGAATCGCGCGGGGTGGATGGGGCGGCGGGGGAAAGTCCCAATGAAACCCGAGGTGATAGCAAACACGAATAAAGGGGACGCGAAAAAAGTGCGAGATGTTTTGAAAAATGGATGAGGAATTGCGAGAAGGATGAAGCAGGACGAGGCGTGGATGCAGCGACTCGCGAGCGACTGAAACGGTGGCGTGTAGGTAAGCAGGAACGCCTTTTCTCTCGAGTTCTGGTGTAATCCCGAAGCTGGCCGCAGAAACGGGGTGTGCGCGTAGACGAACCCGGCGGAGGCTCGCATAAGCACGATGGCGACCGCAGCGGAGCGTGCGGAAGAACACAGCGCGAGTCGTACGCTGAAGAATGCAGCGGAGGCGTAGCGGCAAACGCAGCGCGCACGAGGGCAGCCGGAACAAATAAAGACCGCGCGGACGGATATGCGGACCCAGCGAAATGAAGGCGTGCGCACTGGAACAGGGAGCACCGCAAGGTAGGAGAGCCTTTCCTCCAGCAGCAGGGAGGTGATGTGGACACGACACAAGTGCGGACGTGTTCCGCCCTCACTCACTGCTCACCCCTCATCCAGTAATCGGGCGCGCGCTCGACTCCACACGGAAGCGGGCGCTGCACGGGCGCGGTGATGCCAGTGCCATGCACGATGCCGAAGGCGCATCGCAATCCGATACGCAACTCGAGGTGCCAGTGCGCGATAGCGCGGGAAGAAGTGGGAATGTAACAAAGAGGAGATGGTAACGGGGAGATGAGCGAAGAGGGACGAATTTGGATGAAAGGGGACATGATGGGGCGAAGGCCGCGGTGGACGTGGAAAAAAGGAAGAAAACAAACGGAGGCAAGCGGATGAAAAACAGACGCAAAAACGGGGGGCAAAACACACACACAGATGAAAAATGAAAAAAGCAAGACAAGAACGGGGCGAAATGAAAAGAATGGACACCCTAAACACCCCAAAAATCCGCGGAAAAAGAAAAGTAAACAAGTTAGAAAAAACCACGCACGATAAAACCCCTGCGTCGCATGCACCACATACGCCAGCGCCAAATAGAGCACGAGGACAACCACTAGGAGTTTAACCAGGCTAAATAAACATCCAAACAAAGTAAGACGTCGATAAAGGGCAAGAGAGGCATGAGCCGCGCGAACGGCCGGGGGATGCCGGTGCAGGGAGGAAAGAGAAGGAGACAAAGACGCACCGTTAAACCGGGTACTAAACGTGTTCGGCGACGAGAGCAGAGGCCAGAAGACGATTGTTACGACGAACGCTGCTCGAATCTCCTTCAGTACTCTGCAATCCAATATGTGAATAAATGGATGGGGGACGTACGGTAGGCAGTAACGGTCGCCTGGAGCAGGACATGCAACGCCTACAGAGCTCGGGGCCAGCGGCGGAGGGGGTAGATCTGTCAGCGCGCGTAGAAGAGCGTTTGGACGGCGGCAGTGATGTAGTAGGTGGTGAGCCCGATGTAGGAGAGTTCGGTGAAGTATGTAGCAGAGGAAGCTGTGGATGGGGATCGGTATCAGCATTTGCGATGACGTTGGATTGGGATGGAGATGGGGTATAATGTGATACGATGGAATGCGGATGAGATACGATGGGATGGGATATGATGGTAATAAGCATGGAAGGTAACGGATGGAGGCAAAGAGGCAAGGAAACGCACGTAGGTCCAGCCAGCAGCGACGTCAAATCCAAGCACAGTGCAGATCATGCACAGCGCATACAGCGCGATGAATGTGCGGATGGCGGCGAGAGCAGCGGGGGAAAGGAGCTAGGACGAGAAGGTGTAGTTGGGATCGAAAGGAGTGGCGGCGCCGAGGCGGGACCAGCTGAAGAACGATATCGGGCCTGCGCGGAGGAGAGGGGAACCTTTGCTAAGGACAGGTGGGGAGGAAAGGCAGACGGCTGCACTGGACCGCAGACGCTGGGGCAGTAGAGAGAAGAAAAAGGTAGTGATCGAGGAGAGCTGATTTGGTAACACTGATCCCATCTCTGTGGCGATGCATCTTCCTTCTATTCAGGGTTGGCAAAACCCGGCGTGTGCGCATAATGATACTCGTTGAAGCTTACTCGGTGAATTATTAGGAGTCGTCGAATTCATTTCAGCTCAAGGGAGAAATAAAAAGGATGTGGCGTGGTGGCCCCACTGGCACCGATGCACGCAGTTTTTGACAGATCTGTCGAGTCGAGACAAATTTCATTGTCCCTCGCGTCGTGTAAGGCGAGACATTTCAGCGCGAGTCCAACCGGAAACAACGTCCAACGTCTAACATGTATGATGTGTCGCAGAGAAATATTTTTATCCATCCACCTATTTTAAATTTTTGAGCCCCAAATATATATCTCCTGCCCGAAAAGTAATAGCCCTCACCACGATTAACATTCCATCTTAGCCGAATACCATTAGCTAGCGCCACTCATCCACAGCGCTACGCATATCTCGGACCCGAGTACCGTTGAGGTCATTGAGACTAGTACTAACGCTAGTTCGCCCTGAATGCAGAAGCGATATTTCTGTTTCTAATGGCTGCATTTTTTACTCCACCTATGCCGGAACACATCTTATAGGACAGCTCGGACGTGGTGTACGGAACACCCTCGTTCCTCGTAATACAGCTGTTTTCTGTGAGATTAAAGCGAATTTCTGGGGTTCGACTCCCCGCGTCTGAATGCTGCCTTGTGATCACAATCTTTTTATTTGCAAGCAATCGACTTATTCTGGTCCAGAGACAAGGTTTTTACTCGGACGTGGTGTACGGCACACCATCGACCTGCATGTGATGGCGTGAAATGTAAAGTGATTGCCCGGGGTTCGACTCCCCGCGTCTGAATTAATTGGGGTCTCTGTCTTTTTTGCCCGCTCCTCTGATTCCTTGCATAGAATCTACTTACTTTAGTTGTACTGGTATAGATATAGGATTTTGAATCGGATGTGGTGTACGGAACACCATCGCTCTACATGATAGGCTTTGATCCAAATGTAAAGCGAGAACCGGGGTTCGACTCCCCTCGTCCGAATAAGATACGAGTCCTAGAACCTTTTTTCCCCCATTCCTAGGATTAATTGTCATTTACACAGGAACAGATGTAGCATTCTGAATCGGATGTGGTGTACGGAACACCCTCGCTCTTCACATGACGAAGGAATAATATATTAAAGTGAGAGCCCGGGGTTCGGCTCCCCGTGTCTGAATGTGTGGTCGTTATCGAGTATTTTCTCCACTTGATTCCTTGCAAGCCAACCTACTTCTTCTTACAGGACTTGAGTCCACTAGAAGCTCGGACGTGGTGTACGGCACACCCTCGCTATCGATAAATCATTCGAGAATGCTCATTAAGCGAGTGCCCGGGGTTCGACTCCCGGCGTCCGAACATTTGGGGCCTTTGTCTGTTTTTGCCCGCTCCTCTGATTCCTTGCATAAAATCCATTTGTGCTGGTACAGATGTGGTGTTTTGAATCGGACATAACATGCAGAATACCCTCGTTCTGTATTATAGCATGCGTTGCAAAGGGTAAAGCGAGGTATCGGCGTTCGACTCCCCGCATCTGAAATTATCTATTTCTTGTGGTTACTTTTTGCACCCACTCTTCGTCAAATAAGTAGCTCACTTGGGGGGGTAGAGGTGTAGGATTCTGAATCGGACGTAGTGTAGGGTACACACTCGCCTTGCATTAGGTAGGTAAATAAATGAACCAATTTAAAGCGGGTACCCGGGGTTCGACTCCCCGCGTCTGAACCCATGATGTTCTTGCAAATCATTCTCCACCCCACTCCTCAGAGTAATTCTATTTTATACCGGAACACAAGTGAGGGCTTGCATTGGATGTGGCATACGGAACAGCCTCGCGCTGGATGCGCAAATCAAAATACTGCAAAGCGAGAGCGCCCGGGGTTCGACTCCCCGCGTCCGATGCTTTGACGATTTCCTTTTCATTTTTTTGCCTCCAAGACAGCTGCCGAAGGAGGTCTTTGAATGGTATGTGGTGTACAGAACACACCCTCGCTATTCATATACAATGAGATCGTCACAGATGTATGAAGCGAGCTCCGCCGAGGTTTGATCCCTCGCGTCTGAATTTTCCAGAACTTCCGTCTTCTTTTCTCCTCTGCTCAGGAAAAAACCACGTACTTATGCTGGTACGCAAGTGGGGCTCTGAATCAGATATGGTGTACGGAACACCCTCACTCTGCATGAGGTTGGGTTCATTGTGTAAAGCAAATGCTCGGGGTTCGACTCCCCGCGTCTGAATGCGTCTTGGACCAACTTGGTTTCTCTTTTTCTCGCCGCCACCCGTGCATTGACGAACACAGTTATGAAGTCACCTTCTTCCCCACCCCTCAGGTCTTTTTCACACAAGCCAAGAATCAGACGTGGTGTGAGGAACGGCCTCGTTCTACATACTAAAGTAATTGGTTAAATTACCAAGTGCTGAGCGCTGGGGTTCGACTCCTACCTAAATTCATGGAAGTAGTCTATATGCAAGTTTTTGAATCGGACCTGGTGTAACGAATACCCCCACTCTTTGTGTCTGATGATTACAACATGAACGCAGTGAGGTACCGTGGCTCTACTCCGTGCGTTTGAATTCTCCCTTAAGTAGCTTCCACGTTCCATAACCAGTACGTTTTCCCGAGGAACATAATGAACACCCAGGTTTCTCATCCAATAGCGCATATGCATTTTTATTTTATTATTCACAGGCGGTGTCCCGGACGCCGTTCCTCTTCATTGCACATGTGTGCAGGATCCCTGAAGCGTATTCATAATCAACTTCTACAATCAACAACATACGGAAAGAGCCATGCCCATGCGTCGGGGTTTATTTAAGATCAGCGAAGAACAGCTTATCGAAACCAAATATAACCGCCCCGCCATACGGTGACACATCCCGGACGCCCCAAGACCCAGGCAAGCACGTGGTTCGACACCCAAAGTCAGAGTCCGGCGGCAATAGCTGATATTGGCCGATGTTGTACAACGGCGAGAGTTGGTGCCCGGAGTACCATAGATGTCCGCTCGGGGTGTCGTGTGACACCAACTCGTGTCGTAAGGCCAGTGCACCACGCTCGACGTGGTAGCTGCGGCGGGCACCCGACCACCAGGAGGTGTACACCCACAGGCGATACAGACCTGACTGCAGGGGACTCTCATGGAGGACCATTTTGAGGTGCGTGTATTTGGGGGACGAGTTGTGAGGGAGGTGGAAGGCGAGGGAGGATATTGTCGGGAGGTTCGAGGTTTCGACCATTTCTTTGGACGTTATCGCGGGGTCATCCTCAAAGCGGTGCCAGTGGGAGGAAAGCGCAGCCACGGCGCACGTAGTAACCTGTGCAGTTAGCTGGGATCCTCTGGCAAGTTCTGCGAGGATCATATAGTCGGGAATAAGCTTCAGCAAAAGTGTTGAGTTCTAGGAATGTCAGCGTTGATTGGAAACAATAATGGTAATGGAGTACCACTGTGTGGGCAACAACTGTGCAACACAATTTCATACGCCAGTTGACTAGAAAGTATCGCCTGCGAGAGGCGAGTCTCAGGGCGACGATGTCACCACAAATAGAGGGGCCCGAGCAGGGACAGGCCTCCACAAGACGGAAGGCCATCAAGGTTTGAGATATCCCCGTTTCTAGATCCAAATCGACAATGTTCACGACGCTGGGAGAGAACCGTATCAAAATATGCTCGGATGTGAGATAGGATGAGGAACTTGCTTGATGGATTGATTATTGAAGCACACCACAACAGTGACATTCTTTCCGTCATTTACTACCTCTGCCCCGACAGAGGAAACCGTGGAAGCTGCCGTGCTCGTCTGATGACTCCATAGCCAGGCGTCGGTGTCAACTGCCCAGCAATGGACGCTGTCGGAACTGCGGCCGTGGAAAAGGATATATTTCCCGCCGCATAAGACGAGGATAGAGTTGAGCCGGAACGGGAATGCCGACGCATGGGCCACTGCGGGTTGGACCACAACTCGTTCTGTAAACTGGAGTATCGCCTTGGGACGCGAAGAAAGGGAGATCCGGGACATCGTTCGGCGCAATAACCAGGCGGGCAGTTTGGCTAGCGAACCAGTCGGCGCTCGTTCCTTCTTGGCCGGCCAATTGTCCTGACCAGTCACCATCGTCTTTACCAAACCGATAAGTGTCTCGGTAGAGGATGCCCGGATATCTGCGGCAGATACTCGGTCAGTGAATCCTCTGAGCCGGAGATCCTCCACAAATGCGACCCAGACAGTTCTATCCAGTGCGATGCGGTGGAGGTATTTGTTGGTCTGTCGAGAGTAAGTATGAGCGAATGCACTGATCCTGGGATCGACTTGCCCGGCCACTGGAAATCACAGCGTAGATGTCACAAAGACCAAAGATGAGGAGAAGAACATCTTCAGGCAGATCCTGAAGCATGATAGCTGGTTTCCGTTCGCCCATCTTCGTGGACGTTGGCGACAGCGCGCAAAATGCTGTGTTCGGTTACGAAAAATGCTGTGTGCGGTTATCACCACCGGAACTTAGCGCAAATTCACGATTGTCCATCTTTTCTCCGTTTTCAAGCTGTGTACTAACATGACTTTCGGGGAAGCTGGAATCTGGATCCTGATTAAACCCCCAACGCAAACTTTGTAGTTGATTCAGCAGCTTCAAAGCAGCTTTCACTGCCTTTCACCCAGCTCGTTCTCCACGGTCCGAACACGCGCAAAATTGGAACATCGTATGCAGGTTTCGAGGTCTAAGTTGAACGAGATACGATCACTCGCTCTTCTTTCTTTCCAAGCTCCTCAAATTATTTTCAAAAAAAAAAGACTTACTTATGGTGGTACAGATGTCAGATTTTGCACCACACGTCCTGTACGGCACACAGTATGTACTGCACGTGAAGTGATTTTCATCGTGGAGATAACATATCTGACCGATGAAACAAAAGTCTTGGAGGTAGTGAGAAAACGCGTGAGAGGATGGGAGAAGAGGGTGAGGACGCCAGTCTGAATGCCGTCTACGTATACTAAATGAAACGGGTATTTTTACGCGTGAGACTCTGTCTGAACGTGCCCTCCATCCTTGACGGTAGCTTTACGCGTTGGACTGATTAGGTAAAGCTACAGCCAGATGTACGGGACCTGAACCTGGAACAGAAGTCCGGTCGATTCTACGCACAAACTAAACAATCCAATCCTCATGTTGCACCGAATGACCGCCGAAGGAAATAATTCCCGGGGATTCTCACAATCTTAAAGATTGCTGAAATCAGACGCTTTATCTCCCAGAATATTCTGCCGTTAGATGTGATAGAAGCAAGATAGAAGGCATAGATGTAACCTCGAATCGTCGCCCCGTATATTTCTGGCATCCTGCGGGTCTTCAAAAATGTCGAACACTTCTCGAATTCGAATTGTCTCGTAGCACATGCTTTTCAAGAATGACACAAAGTAAAAAATGCATCCGGCACGACTTTAAATCCTGAACGCGTCCCTAGATTCCGACACTCTTGATGCCTTCCTTCAGTTTAATCCAAGTTGGGCGCGAAATGACGTCTTTCCACCATCTTATACAAGAGTGTGGTAAGTGCACCAGACTACGGAAATAAGCCGCTGCTCACCTAGTCACATTAGGGCCCCGGTTCCCCATTATATCGATCCCGGCTTCTGCCAGCATCGGTATGGAATAAAGGTGGAACAGATCTGCGAGCGTGAATTCCTGCACAGGGCACGTCAGACTGCATTTTTCATGCCGCGAGTGTAACAAAACAAGCTCACGTTCCCACCCAGGAATTTTTGTTTCCCCAATATCACCTCGTACACGTCGAGCTTCGGAGAGAACTCGGATACGGCTTCTGCGAGGAGGGCATCATCTATGGGCACACCTTGGCGCCTATAATATAGAAAGGGCTTAGCATTATGCGCACTCTGGATTTAAGGAATTCCTTACTTTTTCATTATGCTCTGCATGTACACTTTCACCACCTGGGGGAAGAAGCTGGTCAACTCGATAGAGGCCGCCTGCTCGAATATCGCCTTCTCCTTCAGACTGGTAGGGATGAGCGGAGTCCCCTGATCCGCGTATTTCTCTGCGAGGTAACGGCAGATGGCGCGGGTCTCGTAAAGAATAAATCCATCATCATCCTGCGAAAGCGGTGGTTAAATACGTGCAGGCAGCATTTAAGATACTTACTATCACAGGGATTTGACCGAAAGGGTTTTTGGCGATGAATTCCGGGTTTTTATGGGCTCCATTTTCCATGTCGACTGCGACGAGTTCAAAAGGGATGCGTTTTTCTGCGAGGACCATCGGGATAAGGGCACTGCCGCCCCCCAGGAATGATACTGCATAGAGTTTGAGGACCATTTTGGAGTCTTCAACGCAGTGGGTGGATGTAGGAGTAGGCAAATGCCACTCTTATATTCATAGAATCACCGTAAGCGCCTTGTCCGTCAACGTGTCCACCCACATTCGACAGCTTAGGAATGCAACTGGCAGGTGCTTAGGAAGAATTTTGTGGTTACGGCTTGCTTATAAACACAAATCCGAGAATGTCGGGATATCGTGGCACCGTTTTTTGACCGTTTGCATAGAAATGTTCGGCATCTTTTTTTCTCGCGTCCAATGAACGGCTTGCCGTTGGTATTGAAGATTAATCGGCAACAGGCGGACGTGTGTACTATATGAGCAAATTCCCGCTACTTTTAGGTAGGGTCTTATAGCGCCCTATTTTCAGGACTCGCAGACGATCACATTTTCGTCATC